GCGGGGGGGGGGGGAGCGTACTCTTAGGTTTTGCTTACAGCGGAGCGGTTAGACCATCGACCACGCGTCCTCGAGAGGACAGAGTATTGTTCCCACAGGACCGATCACCGATGGACAATCGTTCTTTCCTACTGGAAGGGGCGGTCAATCGTTCGGCTCGCGGAGGGCCCTCTCTCTCTGTCTCTCTCCGTGTTTGTGGTTGGGGTGTTTCAAGGAGATTGTGTGTGCCGTCTCGCGTATTATGAACCGTTCAGTCCCTTAAAACAACAGGGATTTTTCTAGACGGGTCACCAAGGGTCACACACGAGGAATTCCACACAAGGAGCTTTCGTACTACTGTAAACCAGGAAAACGGTGTTGATCATCATGCTACCAAGCGAACAAGGTAAGGCACGGTGTGCAGCACGGAACCAACTCGAAGGTCGTTGCTGTGCACCCAGCTCGGGCCGCCGGGGGCCTTGGCTTGTGCCCCACATCGGAAACAACGGTTGGACAAAGTCTTGATGGCGAGGGTACCCATTCTAGACACAGCAGTTGCGGCCCGCGAGCAAGAAACGTCCATTTGGGGTCGAGGGTTAAGTTATTATTTCGTAATCGCCACCGTCGAATGCAGGCCATTAGACTATATAGATTCAAGTCTAGAATCCACGGCTGAGGTGTGTGTCTTTGTCTTGGTCCATTTTCCTGTTTTTCGTGAACATTTGAGTTTTCTCTTCTCCGCTAGATTTTTCTTGTTGACGAGCCGCAACTACTGCTGCTGTACCAGAGAGACCGAACCCCCTTCGCGAACTGCCGCCAGAGGCGGGGATGCAAACAAAAAATGCAATTATCCGGAAACTATGACAGCAGTAGTTCCGCTACAGCAATCCTGTGGCGTTGGTCGAACCCCCTACCGAAGGCATCTGATGCCTTTCAGGGATACGAAAAATGTTGAGGGTCCGCATGTAGTGCATCCATTTTGAGCGCGGGTCTGAGCAACGGGGGTATTGGATGGTGGAATAAAAATTTCCAGTCTTGTCCCACACACGACCTGTCCTCGTCACGACACCATGCTGGTACAATATCCAGTCTTGCGTGCTCTGCTACCGTCTACCTGCCTGGTCGATACCCCAGTGTAGCAGCTCACACACCTATGTAGACTATGGCTGCTGCCAACCCGTGATACGATAGGTTGCCGTGCCGCACACCTGGCTACCGCAGCAGGTACATTTGAAACTGCAGCCAGCTGTTGCAAAAAGCAAAATGAAATACCGTCGCTCTCATAAGCATATGCAAAGCTGTGCCGCGAACAAACAGTTCAGACTCGCCGACGGCGGTCAGTTTACATCGCCGTCACAACAACCTTGAGAAAATACATTCAAAATACCAGACGACAGCAGTGGAAATTTTTGTTGTTGTTGTTGTTGGTTGTCTTAACATTAAAAACCGTTCCGGTCCCCGCGCCTACTTACTCAAGATGTGGGTGCTGGTCCAACTGACGCGGACGTCAATTGCCCCAAAACGATCAAGGCAAATAAAAAAAAAAGCAGTTGTTTTTTTTTTCGCACAAAAAGAGAAGTCAAGACATCTGCAGATTGTTTTGCTTCCATCTTGTGTTGGCCGGTGCGGGGAAAGGGAAAACCGCGGGAAAGGGATTTGATCGAGACCGCTCCCCGTCTCGATGCACTGCTGTACAGCGAGCTGGACTACAGCAGTCCTACGGATGATTGCTATAAGTCAGTCGGCACGCTCTCCCCAAACGGGAAGCAGGCATCGTCGTTTGGGCAATCTGCGATGCATACGGCTCTTTTCGGCATTATAAACCTCCATTAGCATCAACAGTGACAGACGAACGCCCCGTGAGCACGTGCGGGCATAAACGAGAGAGAGACACACGCGTTGCCAGCAAGAGAGAGGGTTATATCAAGGCGATTTCAATTTCAAACGTGCACGAATCCTTTGCGCCGCGGCGCCCCCCCCCCCGGACTCTCTAGCTCCTGTACCACCACCTCCCCCCCCTCCTGCTCCGCGAAAACAAAACACGAGTCTCGTGGGGGGGAGGACCCTAGCGAAAAAATCAAACGCGCGCGCTCGCTCACTTTGGCAACCACCTCCGCCCACGAGTGCACCACGACAGGGGCACCTCGCCCCTTCCGAATGCCGTAGCACGCCGGCAACTTCTTCACCATGGTCCTTAGCCAAAGCCGCTCGCGGAGATGTGGATAGCTGGGTACGAGAGAGACGTGTGCTCTGCTCGCCGGCTCTGTGCTTGCATTTTGGTTGAGAGCTTACACCCCCTCCTCCCATCATATGCCAATTTGTTGAATCAGGGGGGTTGGGGGTTCCGTGGTACGGTGTCAAATTTCACCGCATTTTTTTTCTGTTGGAGGTTCCACCACTTCACTGGATGGCCCAACCCTTGACGGGATCTATCTGTCGACGCACATCTCTCAACGCTACAGCAGCAGTCAGAGATATCAGCCGACCTGCATGGCGTAGCGTGGGAGTTGGTGGGTAGACATGGCGACTTTGGGCTTGGTTTTATGAGACCACAACAGGAGACCACAATGTTGTACGGCACAGACGTGTCGATTGTTGGTCATCATCCCCACTTCCTTCACAAGACAAGACACCAGACACCACAGCGTCATGCTGATGGCGAATCCGGCTGACCTCTATACGAGCTGTACACAAAATTTCGATGCGCAAGAAGGTTAGCTTGCATGCGTCGCCTCAGCCAGTCCTCCTGTACATTTTTACGCCCTTTCGACGTTGAGACGATTCGCAAAAAAATACAACAACACCCCACCGACCGCCGGCATATTCGGATACATAGGCTTCTGCACACGTGTGCAAGTTCTAGTTTGTTGTGTGTTCGCAACTGGCCAGAAGATCACCACCGGTAACGTTGGTTTGTGTTGATAGTCTCCGCTTCTGTTGCTACCGTTTCTTTTCTGTCTTTGATCCAGAGAAAAGGTTTTAGTCTCCCCCATGCCGCCCCTGTACGGAGTCAGCCTTATTATATGGATCCCGCCAGACAGATGGGAAGAGGGCGTGGGGGGCATCCGAACCAGCGAGTCCCAAATCGCTGGCTTTGTTTGCCCTGCGCCCTGCATCGCCCTCGTGTGACGAGCTAGCTAGCCTTGACACAGGCGGCCAGAGGCCGCAGTATGTCAAGATGAATAGCGACCAGGCTGATGTCATTCCTTTCGTAACAAACGCAAACAGCTATACCATCTCTAGATCCTCGGACTCGGGGTACAGCAACCGCCGCGAGCTAACCCCGCCGCACGACAATGCGGCTGGAGCGGCAAGACGAGCTTCTATACGGCGCGCGTGGAGAAGAGAGGGCGACATTCCGGGAGCAGTTGCTGATTAGGTAAGCGATTCCCCTCTAGTTACATCTGGATGGTAGCAAAATAAGGATGAATTGAGAGAACATTGTGTGGTGTGTAGTTGTGTAGACTATCCCTATGCATCTGTCCCCGTTGGGAGAGGCGCGAACTCTCCACGTGCTGTAGGAACCAGCAGTCGCATGTGTTACGCTCAGACACCAGCAGTTGGTTCTGCATACTCAACGGCTCTCGGCCTACTGCGTGTACGCGGCTCTTCCTCACCATGTACAGAGCGGGGATTATCTCGGAGGCGTCAGTAAGCGCCCAGCCTCATAAAAGAGCGTGTTGGAGGGAGGGTAGGCACTTCGTTATTTAAGGGTACACCTCGGGAAAATTCCCGCCGTTTTTTTTTCCCGCCGTGGTGGGCGGTCCCGGTACTGGCGGGAATTACCGCCACATTGCAGTACCGCCGAAAAAGTACCGCCAAAAAACGAAGTACCGGGAACCGCCAAAAAAGAACCGCCATATTGCAGTACCGCCGAAAACGTACCGCCGTACCCCAGTACCGCCAAAATGGTACCGCCAAAAAACGAAGTACCGGGAACCGCCAAAAAAGAACCGCCATATTGCAGTACCGCCGAAAACGTACCGCCGTACCCCAGTACCGCCAAAATGGTACCGCCAAAAAACGAAGTACCGGGAACCGCCAAAAAAGAACCGCCATATTGCAGTACCGCCGAAAACGTACCGCCGTACCCCAGTACCGCCAAAATGGTACCGCCAAAAAACGAAGTACCGGGAACCGCCAAAAGAGAACCGCCATATTGCAGTACCGCCGAAAAAGTACCGCCGTACTGCAGTACCGCCAAAATGGTACCGCCATACTACAGTACTGCTCTAGAAAGAAGCGTAGGGCACAAAATAAAGTGCGTCGTTCCACGTAGAACAGAGGTTCGAGTCCAGCTGGCCAGCGTCGTTGTTCATCATTCATGAGGTGATGGAGATGCTGAGGGAGGGCAGCCACCCGATCCGGGCGCAGAACGCCACCGTCATGCCGCCCCCACCGGACGGCATACCCACGAACGAGATGCAGGTGACGGACCTTTCCCTGACGGCGCAGGGGTGTTAGACGTGCTGCTGGACGTGATGGAAGAGAAGCAGGTGGGGAAGGCTGTGCAGCAGGTGGAGCGGCTGTCCGCGTTGATGGACCCGAGGCGGAAGTCGCTTGACGGCGAACAAGTCGAAAACGGTTCTGCGGCTCTCAGGAAGAGGGCCNTCAGGAAGAAGGCTGAAGAGGACTTGAAGGCGGTCATCGCCCAGTTCGACGTGCAGCCGTCCGAGCCTGCACCGGCGCCAGCGCCAGTGCTCAACGTGGACCCGGTGGAACCCGCACCCAAGAGGAAGAAGCTTTCGAGATTGGAGGAACGGCGCGCGGCACGTGTGGCGGCAGCCATCCTGAACGAGAAGAAAGAGGTTCGCCGGTTGGTGGGGCGCCAAGGGCACCGAAATGTAGTTTGGCATCGCCATATTTTGATATTCTGGTCTACCCGCAACCGTCGAAGGCGGTGCCGCCATATTTCAGTACCGCCAGAAAAAAAACGCCATATTTGGCAGTACCGGGAACCGCCGAAGACGGTACCGCCATATTTCAGTACCGCCAGAAAAATATCGCCATATTTGGCAGTACTGAGAACCGCCGAAGACGGTACCGCCATATTTCAGTACCGCCAGAAAAGTACCGCCATATTTGGCAGTACCGGGAACCGCCGAAGGCGGTACCGCCATATTTCAGTACCGCCAGAAAAGTACCGCCATATTTGGCAGTACCGGGAACCGCCGAAGGCGGTACCGCCATATTTCAGTACCGCCAGAAAAATACCGCCGTATTTGGTAGTACCGGGAACCGCCTAAAAAGAACCGCCATATTTCAGTACCGCCAAAAAAGTACCGCCATCATTGGCAGTACCGGGAACCGCCAAAGGCAGTACCGCCGGAAAACGAAATACCGCCAACCGCCAAAAAAAGTACCGCCACATTGAAGTACCGCCCCGCCTGGATCCGCCTAAAGGACTAGTACCGAGGTGTACCCTGGTTATTTTCAACTTTTTTTTTATTTTCTTAATAATAATATTTTTTTTGTTAAAAGTGTGGCCCGTTATAATAGTTTTTTTTTTTGTGAAAAGAGTGACCCGTATAGGGGTACGCTTTTTGTTTTGCAAAAAAAAAGCTGTTTAGAGGGATCGTGCGGGGAGTATGTGCGCACGAGAAATATAATAATTTTCATGCACAGGGGCGTGAAAATTACGCCATGGCTGTCTGTCTGGTGTCTGCGCGCCCTAAATACCCAGCAGACTCGAGCCCATTTCACCATCTCGGCACCAAATTGCAAACTAAAACTTGCGCACAACAAGTAACATTTTGCCCGAGCTGTCCCAACCGCTACCTTTGCAATCCGTGGTCGGTGTCTCGAGATAGCACACCGTTTGTGCAAATATATATGTC